AAGTGTTGTCAATAAATAAATTCAAATCGTACGTTAAAGTAAAGCTACTTACTAAGGCCTATTATAATATTAAGGAATATTTGAACGATCCAGTGCTTCAATATGATTTGCTCCAGTATAAAGAGGTAACGCGACTGAATGTCTCGGCTGCATTCCAGACTCGCGGGCGATCTTCAACATCCACGACTGTTTTAATTTAAAGTTGGACCAAACCGTGATCCATGTGGTATCAAATTATTTCAGAATAATTAGTATTGTTATTATTTTCTAATGTAGCAAAGTTCACATTTCAAGGATCGTCATGCTCGCTTAAATGCTTGTGGCGGCGTCAATGCGTCGGGTTGTCTCTCTCCCTAAAATATGGCGAGGGAGCCTATGGCCAAAGGCCATGCGTCATACTTGTGAACGAGTGCTACTTGTAGTGACTGGTCGTATGCGGTGATGTTGGTTATTTCGACTATGTATTTGCATGTTGTTCCCACGAGAATGTAAATGCGTGCTCCTATTTCTCCATGCCTACTGCTGATAGAGGACAAATCTTTGTTTTTATTAATTAACTATCATTTACTTAAAGATGCATATGGAATGGTGGATGGTGTGTAATGCTTGCAGCTCCTTACAAACATTTTTTAAAACGAAAAACTTGGCGATTTAAAAGAACGGCGGAGAGCTTATTGCCAGTTCTTCTCGTCCGTTCTACGCCCTTGATTTGAGAACTGGCAGTAAATGTAAAATTAGAAGCATTTAGCATTTAATATGTATTTCTTTATTGACGTTCAGTGTACATTGTGTTTCCTAACTGAATAAAGGTTTTTGAATTTGAATTTTAGCGAAATCCGATTACCGTTGAGGTCACGTGGAAACGCTGGTTTAATTGACGTCAGACTTCAGAGTATGAATAAGCAATTCATCTCAGTTGTAGGTTGACAATTGTCATGGTAGGCATTTCTTTATAAACAAATTTGGTTGTATGTAAAAGATAATTTTACGTGATAAGGGGCCTTAGTCAAGATGCCTTAACAGTAGTGTATGTAGAAAGTCGAAAACTTAATTAGTATGGAAATGACAGTTCGTGTCGAAAAGTTTTCATACAAATTTAGTTTTTGACGTTCTACATACACTACTGTTAAGGCATCTTGACTAAGGCCCCAGGTCATAAGAAAACATTGATGAAAAATAGCATACTTTTATGAATTCAATTATTATCATTATTTTGTATCATAGAAAAAAGGAGTTAATTTAAACATATTTTTTTTAGATAAATTAAAATATATTTGCACTCGTTAATTTGAAGTATATATTTTTTAAAAATAAAATAACCAATACATATATGATATTATATCGCTAATTAAATTCTTAAAATTCAAGAGGTCTGGAATTGTTGTTGTAACAAACAATGGAATTCACATTAACTTTTCACATCACTTTATAAACAGTTGATAAAACAGTTTACGTGTAGGTTGTGTGCTGCCGCTGTCTCTTATTTACTCGGACGCATCGGCCCATGGAGCGGAAGAGAGATAAATGCGTCACAAACCTTAATTTATCCCTAATTAGTCCAGTCAAAATAGGCATTTGACTTAGCCAAAATTCGCATAGAGCTGAAAATTGGCAGAGACGTTAAATACATCATTATAAATGAAATGTCAAAAATCCCCTTCGATCCTACTTCTGCAAAAAAATTTATTCAAGGTCAAAAGTATAAAATTAAGGTTTTTTCCATTTTCTCGAAAACAGTTAGTATTATCGTGAAAATAGATCAGACAAAAGTTGTAGATCATACAATTCTCTACAAAAATGGTTCAGTCACTTTTTCTCTTACGACTCACCATTCATGAGATATCGCGGTTTTAATCATTAGAAAATTCATATTCTACATAATATGCACACATTTCCGCACCACCTATGAGGTAATGTACTTGGCGCATTTTTTTTAACGTGCTTTCCCCAGTAGGTATACTCCACGATCTATTGTAATAAAGAAAGTTTGATCAGATCGTATCCTATTAATTGAAAGAATAGTAATATTGCTAATGATAAAAGTGGAATAGGTTTTTTTTTTCTACATGTCATTATATAAGATAATTGTCTAATTCTACTTCAACAATTATTTCTTCGTCTTCATTCTCTTCTTGCAGAATTTCTGGATGCTGTTCTAAGAAAAGGGATGCATCAATTGTCTCTTCATTAATATCATAAATATCTTCATCTGTTGTATTTGTTTAAATATTGGAGCAAGTCTGACCCTGACAATTGATGCATACTGGCGAACAAAATAATCCTACTTTTTGACAGCCACAATTCAGACTACAATCCGTCTTGCATTTACAAAAAATAGTATTAAGTAGTTTTTCTGGAGCAGGCGGGAGTAAAGTTTGAATTGGCTCCAAATAATTATCTGTTAATTTCCAACCCCATTCTTCTGGGTCCAGCTCATTGCCTAGCCACACTTGAACTTGATAATACACACGATACAAGTGTTGAAGGGACAGATGTTGAGGCAGACAAGACAACTGTACTGTTTTATTGTTCCATGCAGATTTTACAAACTTCAAATATCTATATTTGTCTATGGAATCAATTTTTTTTGGAGCACCATACAATGCAATAAGAAAACGAATTCCATTTGTAACGATGTCGTGTGGAGAAGAGTCAATCTTTGTGAATACTTCTGCGCAATGAATTAAATCATTACGTTTTTCAAACAATTTAAATACTGATGTTTTACCTCTTTTAAAAATTGCTGATGTTGTATCACAACCAGTTATTGCATGTAAAAATAAAATATGAGCTTGACATTTCGGATATGCAGTCAGACTTTGTGATGAATATATTGTTGATTGTACTTGAGCTTTCCCAGGTTTTAAAAAGTAAATAATTTTATCATTTGGAGTCCGTGCAGTCAGTAATATCAACAAATCAACATCTTCCCCAACAACGACAGTTGTATTTGAACTTTTCCATTGTTCTATTGCTGTTTCAATTATAAGGACATCAGCAGCAGGCCGAACAGCAGTCATTATACAGTGGCTGATAGTTGTACATGTTAATTTCAAATGATCTACTTTAAATCGTAGATTTTTTTAAATTACTTGCTCCAAAAAATAAGTCAAGGACTCCGGAATATCGCTGTTAATATTTTCAAACATTTGACTCGGCGGGGGATAATTATCATTATCAATCACTACAGATTGAATATCCTCTCGAATAATTGCTGCAGCAGCTTTCAATATTCTGAATCGTTCTTCGTTTGTATTTTGTTTTTTATTTTCATACCAAGCTTTATTAAGAATATCGTACTGATTATCAATAAAACAGATAATTGTTAAGCTTCCTTTCTTCTCAGTTATAATAATTTTATCACCATACTTTAACTTTAATCTTCTTTATTATCTATAGTTGGATTTTTGCCAATATCTTTCAATTCTTGTAATGAAAATTGGCAATCATCATTATTTTCAATGTACTGAAATATTTCCTCCATCGCCAACAGTAAACTTGGCGGAAAAAAATCATCTTCGGGACGACCGACTTTATATCCCGTGGTAGGTCTCAAAAAGATATTATAACAGTTATTGTGGTACTTAGGTGACGTATACAGACTGCATTTTAGTGCATATTATGTAAAATATGAATTTTCTAATGATTAAAACCGCGATATCTCATGAATGGTGAGTCGTAAGAGAAAAAGTGACTGAACCATTTTTGTAGAGAATTGTATGATCTACAACTTTTGTCTGATCTATTTTCACGATAATACTAACTGTTTTCGAGAAAAATTGAAAAAAACTTAATTTTATACTTTTGACCTTGAATAATTTTTTTTGCAGAAGTAGGATCGAAGGGGATTTTTGACATTTCATTTATAATGATGTATTTAACGTTTCTGCCAATTTTCAGCTCTATGCGAATTTTGGCTAAGTTATGACTTATTTTTGTCTATTTTGACTGGATTAAATAGGAAAGGCTTCAAAAGTCTTTCATCGTTATCACTTATCACGTCAAAAATAATAACACAGATAACATAATTTGTTTTGTTCTAGAATGAAGTTTCAACTGTCTTAATTCTACTTGATCTGTGGATTGTTTCAACTAACAATTTTTACATTTCTATTAGTGATATCGAACATTTCATATATTTTATATGTAAGTTGTTTTCATTTGACAGATTGATTTTTGTCAGTGAAATTAATGACACAGTGCAAAATCAAATGACAGTGCAAGATCCCTCCCGTCGCCGACATCCTATTACGTGCCTCTATATAAATTCATCAAAAGTACAGTGGGGAAATTATAATAAACCGAATAAAAATACTCAAGACTTGGCCTAAAGGTCTAGATACCAGGCCATAAACTAAAAAAAAAAAACAACTTTTGCCTGTAGCGATAATACTTAATTCATTAATTTTTCATAGCTAATTTCAATTTTCAAGTGTGTAATAATACCGAACATGACCGATGAAAGTATAACGATATCAGCTAAAACTTGGGCAAGAAGTGTAGATTCTATTCACAAGGTTAATTCATCGTTTATATTCAATAAATCTAAACCTATATGGTTGATTTATTAATTAAATAGAGGATTTAGCAAAAAAAGTTTGGAAATTGGAAAATAATATTTTTCTAAATTGTTTTATACAGGTCAGATACTCAGATGGAATAGTTGATGGAGAAAAAAGTGCTTTTCAAACAAGTTTTGACATGGGATATGAAGAAGGCTTTTCCTTTGGATTTTTTATTAGTAGTCAAAACATGTATGTATGTTAGATCCATAAACGTAGTATTACTGAAAAGAACCAATTTTACTTAATTTATACTTTATTTTTAGGTCAACACACACATTACAAGATAATTGTATTATATGTTATGACAATGTTAAATTAAAGGATAATGTGACAAATTTATATAATCTCCAAAAAGACACAAACAAAAAATTTGTGTAAGATAAATTTAATTTGGATAAGCCACTCTACCCAGTGCTCCAAAGACTGTTTTTCAAATTATATATTTCTTGGTTTTTTTTCTGGTGGTGGCTTCATGTTCTCCTGCTTGATTTCCTGTTTTATTTCCATATGCATGTTTCCATTAGTCATTTCAGGATGTATTGAATCTATTGGCTCTTGTTTTATTGTAATATTGTTCATATTATTACTATCACCTCCTTTATCTCCTTTATCATTATTGTTTTCAGCTTTTACTGACACACCATTTGTCTACAAACAAAGGGCAATTATGAAAACATACAGCTTATTTAAGTAATGATATTACCTTACCGCATTTTTCAATTATTATGGAAAAAACTATATTATTTTTTATTAAAGACTATAGTATTTAAAATAATATACAATATTTTTATCATAAAAGGGACTCACTTGGTTAGCAGTGGTAGTTATAGTTGGCAAAGGAAACTGCCTCACTAACTCTGCCAATAACATATCAACTCGTTGTCTTTGAAATAAAGTTGATGGTTCTTCCTTAGGTGTATTAGAAACTTCTTTAGGTGCAGACTGTCCAGAATTAAAAGGACTGATTCCTGTCAATATAATTAAATGCATTTGTATTTTAATGCCAATAAACTAAAAGGATTTGTTGCATAAAAAACATATCACTAAACACATTTAAAAATCTGCCTTTATTTATATTATTGATGATAGTTTGCCTAGATACTATATATTGTTCTCCTATTTCACCACACCTGTCACTGATAGAGGTTAATTATTTATTAATAAGATCATAGATTTATAATAAATTGCTTAAGATGTATAGACATAATGGTTGCAACCATTATCTCCATAGGCTCCTAAACATTTGTATACATGTTGTTGGCAGTTTTTGTCTATTCTACACCCTTGATTTGAAAACCGGCAGTAAATTTAGAAGCATTTATTAAGATTTTTAATTAAAACTTCTTATTATCATTCACAAGTGAACATAGTTATCTATACAAGTTATATTTAAATTTTTGATATTTAAAAGAAAAAAATGTACCAAGAGATTTCACAATCATTACATTTTTGTAGGATATTTAAGCTTTTCATAGAAATTACTGGAAAATAAATGTAACTAGGATTTGAATTAATTTTTACAATATGAAATAAAAATCAGTTACCTGGTTTATTAGGTTTAAAATCCCACCAATACCCTTTACTTGGGTGATATTTTGAATAAGACATAGTTTCTTCAAAAGAACATTGAAGATGGTGGACAGCTGAAAGCTATAGTTGAAACAAAAAAAATTATGAACACAAAGTAGCTAAGTAATAGAAATTGCCTTTATGTATTAACTTACCAATCTTGAGTTTAAAACACTTGCTAAGTCAGGAGCTTGATACACAATTCCGGCAATTATATAGTAATCAGCTAATGGAATAGTTTGCATAGGACTATGTCTATGTTGCTTTCTTATAACATATAGTATTGGCTCCTGAACATGGAGTAAAATGTATTCCAAACCAGTCATATTTCTAAAATTAGAATATGAATAACTACATTTTTAATAACATTCAATCTAAGGATTGTTTATACATACTGAAGCTGATCCATACTCAGGCGTTGCATTTTTACCACTTCATTATTACATGTTCTATCAAAAAATGGATTTGATCTTTCAGAAAAGTAATCCATGATGTTAGATGGATTTAATGACGGTATCCAAGCAGAATCATGCCATGATAAGCCGAGCGGATTCTCATTTGCTATAGGAAGGTGTCCACCAATCCTTGCTGGCATCATTTTTGTTTGGTTTTTTTTAACTTTTATTTATCAATACGTCTTATCGAACCTCGATCTATACTTGTGTCGTATTCAGCAGACCTCACCTAACTCTAATATTAGAGTTAGACAAAGTAATTTTCGACGCAAAACGCCAAATATATTTTGTATATAAATGATCACGTGACAAAGCGTGAGCTTTTTCCAATTACAGCACTAGAGCGCATTTTGCGGCATAATGCTCAACGTTGAGTGTTCCAACTACAGCAACGCTTCGCACAATTGAGCCAGTGTTGCCAACTTAATTTTAACGAACCCACCAATTTTGCCGTCGCAACCCACCAGAAAACCACTAAAATCCACACTAACTAATAAAATAAATGTAAGTGTGTTTGTTTATTTATCCTTTTTTCACGCCGAAAGGAAATATAGGATCGATGTGATTTTTATGTCCGCAGATAGGAGGGGGTTAGGCAAGCAGCCGGCGAGCACTATTTTTTTGTTTTTACCGCGGGAAACACATGTTTTACTGAAGTAAACAGTAGTCTATGGACTATGTCACTCTTTACTTTAGATGGATAGCATACAGCTAGGATATATTTTTTGACAATAAAAGAACAATATTGTAAATTGAATTATAAAATTCGTTTATTTTCATTACAAAAAAACTTATAGAAGACATACAAAATCGTTAAAAATCATCTTCAGCAGAGTCGGATTCCTCTGCACCTTATGATTTTAAGTACATTTCTTTCGTTCCTATTTTCTGGACTACATAATTTGGCAAGATGTAATTATTGCAACACTTTCCTTCGCGTTTTAAACCTGCGCGGATTGTCATAATAGATGACAGTAGATCTAGCTTCATTCGGTTTCTGTGTTTTGTCTTCACGATATTCATAATGCTGAATAATCGCTCTACGCATTAGAGTGCGGTAAAACTAATAAAGATATAGCAAACGTGGCTAAATCTTCAAATCGGTTTTCTCCTGCAATGTCTTCGAAATCCAGCACCTCGTACCAAAATTCCACCAGCTGTACTTTCCACCACTTCCAGCCAGTCCTTTAATTGGGAGTCCCGTAACCAACAATCCCGGAACTTTTGCGTATATTGCGGTTTTGGCATTTTGTTTTAAAAATAAACTAAACATTTGCAAACAAACAAGGTCGCTCCGATGCATAGCATAACCAAAACTACTAAGTATCTGTGTTGTGTATTTCTATTTTTGTGCATGCATACGAAACGAACACATACAAATCTCATTAATTCAAATCAAATTTGACCCATTAGTCATACGAATAAAGCCCATAATCAAAATAATTTAAGAAATTGATAAACTTGTTTCGGAAAATTCCCGAAAATAACGAACGTAATTTTACAGAGTTGCCTACATAATGACAAAATATTCCTTGATAAGGTAAACGTTTTCGTCTTTTCCTGTAAAGATATCACTCGTGCTAGTGGTTAAATGTCGTAGCATACCACTGAATGAAACAAACTAAACCACTAGAAAAATCCACTAGCCACTAAAACCAAAATTCGCCCGCTAAAACGTATATCTAAACCACCAGATCTAGTGGAATATCCACTAAGTTGGCAACACTGAATTGAGCACTCTCAAAACTTCCGGCTAATAAATAAATTTAAAAAAAAAAAAAAAAAACACTCAAAACGAATGCTCTCGCAAACAATACCAACACAGTGACAGAAAATTGACCAGTATTTTTCTTTAAGTTGGCATTTATCGAAATTTTCGTTAGTAAATATTATTTATTGTTGAATAATTTGTAAGGCTTTCGTTTCTTCGTAGATTTTGAAAATAATTAAAGTTATTTCAAACTGCTAAAAAAATAAATATTAGTATGGATGAAGGTATAAATAGTTACTTTTTTTATATTCCACATTTAAAATATGAATACAATTTTATTTTAAAATTCGGATCTGTAAACAAATTTACTTTACAGGATTATACTTTAGAAAAAATTGCAATGGTTTTGAAAAAGTATATATTTTTTTAGAAATCATTAAAAAATATTACTCAAAACGTAAATGATGTAAACTTCTTACATGAAACTAAATATTTTACTGTTAATTTAGCTTGTTAAAACCTTATATTCTTTAAAGGTTTTCTCTTATTTCAGTAAAAAAAATTTAATGAAATAATTTGATTATTAAATTAAGCGTAAAAAGTTTTCAACCAATTATTATTGTTTACCACATTATTTATACATTAATGAGGTTGCTAACTCTATTCAGACCATTTTTTTGTCAACACTGACTTAGCGCACTCTGCTGATGCATTTGAAAACTAATTCACGTTCCAATTAAGCTTCAGCATTATGCGGCATTGTGCGGCACTGAGTCGAAAAATGCTCTGTAATTGGAAAACGCACCTTATATCATTCACTGTATAGTGTATACTAAATACCTACTGTAGCTGATAGAGTATAGAACTAGATGAGCTTCTAAAATAACAATAATAACGAAAGAGAGAAGGCATTAACGTGAAATACTTATGTGCGAGCGAAACAGAGTATCAGTTGTTCTGTCTCTATTTGCGTATCGGGTTTTTTTGGGTACCACCGAGCCCTTGGTGGTAAACAAGTTTTCACCGCTTACTGATAAATCTGTGAAACCCAAGTCAAACCCATATTTAAAGACTATCCTTATAAGAGGTGTATTTAAAGTGTAAGTCGTGGTGAATTGTTGCATAATTTTGTCACGACTCAGTAACTTTGTTCAAGAATTATTCATTCGAATGTGTATTTTGGTCAATAATAAGCAATCTTCAATGAATTAAAACTGTAAATACGACAATATTAGTGGCATATAGATATACATTATGAAGGTCTGATGCCTGGTCTCTACTATAGTCCGTCTACGCTAAATACTAATTCATTATTCATTTGGCGGTAGTGGGTCATGCCTGTCTTAAAGTGATTGTCATTGACCATTGTCTTAAGCCAACCACAGAGCACATTCTAATATATTGAAATTCCTAACTAACTAGAAACTAACGTCAGTCCTTGCTACCAAGTACCAATGTCCACAGTCCAATGGGCCAATAGTCAGCTGTCAGCAGTCAGCACTGCCAGGCGCCAGCAGTAATAGCGAAATATATATATTTATATGTTATATTTTAATTAATTAATATTCAGAGTATAATGATTGCAATCATTATAGTATTCTTAGTTGCTAGTTGTTCTGTAAACTATGTTTCTGATAGTTACATATAAATTGTTGTATAAGTTATATCAAAAACAATAAAAATAAAGAAATATACAAATTACAATAAAAGCAAATGTAAACGAGTAAAATGGAACACTGGTGAATAATGAAAATGAATGGATCTAGCAATATAGTATCAGATCACTCTTCTAATAATGCGGTGCTATCTTCTAATAATGGTGAGACAAATTCAGAAACATTAACAGATATTGTGGCAACAACGTCCAAAGAAAATGTACCCGAAAACTCTGAAGATTTCTACGATCTTAAAGGAAAAGTTGAATCGCGATTATTATCGATGTGGAATAATATGAAATTTGGATGGACTGTGAAATTGAAAACTAATTTTTCGAAAGAATCACCAGTATGGCTTTTAGGTAGATGTTACCATCGGAAACTTAGCCCAAGCAGTTCATTAGAATCTTCAACTGAAGTTGGAACAGAAGCCACAGCAAATGACACTGTGGAACAAATTTATGGTGAAGGTATAGAAGGCTTTAAGTCAGACTTTATAAGTCGAATTTGGATGACTTATAGAAGGGAATTTCCTACTATGTCTGGATCATCATTTACTACTGATTGTGGTTGGGGCTGTATGCTGAGAAGTGGGCAGATGATGTTAGCACAAGCATTAGTTTGCCATTTTTTGGGCCGGTCTTGGCGATGGACACCTGAGAAACCTATTCAAAATGCTAGAGAATTTCAAGAGGATTGTCTTCATCGTATGATCATTAAATGGTTTGGTGATAAATCATCTGTAAATAGCCCTCTTTCAATACATCAAATGGTCATATTAGGAGAAGCTTTGGGTAAGAAAGCTGGTGACTGGTATGGACCAGCTTCTGTAGCTCATTGTTTAAAAGCTGTAATAGGTGCTGCTTCTAAAGAAAATTATGAATTTGATAAATTAGATGTCTATGTAGCTCAAGATTCAACTGTTTACATACAAGATGTATACTCATTATGTAACCTGGGAAATGGATCATGGAAATCTCTTATTCTTTTGGTGCCAGTAAAGTTGGGATCTGAAAAATTTAACCCTATTTATGGGCCATGTTTAACATCTCTTCTTACTTTAGAGTTTTGTATAGGGGTAATAGGTGGAAGACCAAAACATTCCCTTTATTTTGTTGGATATCAAGATGACAGGCTGATTCATTTAGATCCACACTATTGTCAAGAAATGGTTGATGTGTGGCAACCTAACTTTTCACTTCATAGCTTTCACTGCAGATCTCCACGAAAGATGCCATTAATTAAGATGGATCCTTCATGCTGCATAGGTTTTTATCTTCCAACTCAGAATGATTTTGAAACTTTCATTAATATCATTGGATCATTTTTAATACCACAGGGTCTCTCTACAAATAATGAATATCCAATATTCACACTGCACCATGGGACACGAAGTAGTGTTATGAATCAACCTAATGTTCGGTTTTCTATCTATGAGACAGAGAAAAATTGGGTTGCACCTATTCAAGACAGTGACACTGACATAGAATCGGAAGAATTTGTTTTAGTGTAAATATGATTTAACAAGACTTACTTTTAAATATAATTATTATTGCTAAAAATTATAGGATTGTACATAATTATTTATAAATAAGTTATAAAAAAAGCTTAATTCTTAATATACATGACTGAATGACTGCACTGCCACTATATGAGGCTCCATAATAAAATTAAAATATTTTACCTATTTGATTTATCCAAATCCACATCAATCTTTGAACTGTACCATTTCATAATACATATTTATATAAATAGAGGCAGTCAAAGAATTTAAAAATTAATATTTTGAATGTAATCCTTATGTGCAGAGATAATTGAAAACAATAAAGATGTCAGACATGGTTCCATACTTTATTTCGTTCCAATATTATGTTCAGTGGTATATAGCAGACAAAAAATTGTGTAGTCAAAACATGCCAACCACAACAACTAAATTAAACTTTTCAGTAGTTCATCTAATGCATTATTAAGGTAGACTCGAAATAGAATAAGCAAGTCTTTATAACTAAAAGAGAACTTTAAAAAAATCCTTTAATACTTAATATATGTATTATACAATATGTACAGATTTTGGTACTTTATATTTTGTAATCGTTCTTTCTATTTTCATTAAAATAGTTTATTAAGTTTTATAACAGTTAATTATCATCTTTTACGGGAGGTGGATGCCTAATAAAGTAATGTACTGCATTATAAACCATGTGGGGAGCAATATTATGAAGAGGATGAACTCGATTCAACTCAGTTTCTGATGAACCAATGACAAATGATTCTCCAGCCCCGGTTCCATGCTGAGCTACAGATAGACCACTCAAAGTGTAGCATGTATGGTAAATGTCACGAGGCCTAAAAGGAAACACAATAAATTAAAGCTTATATAAAACATTCCTTGACCAATTTTTTTCCAGTTAAAGAATTTCTAACAAGGTGATTCAAGATAAGGCAAATATACCTAAGGCCTTTAAATGAACTGTGACCTTATTAGTAAAGTTGTTTTTTGCTGCCTTTATTGCTAAGGTCAATTAGTATTATTAATAACACAGTTCTTTACATTATATTATTACTTCATATTTGTCAGTCTGTAACTGCATATGCAATTTTAATAACATGAACAGAAGAAACCAAATATAAATCAATCAATTTTGTTATTTATACCAATTAGCAATAAATATAGCTTTCTCATAGTAAAAACGAGTTCTCAAAATAGTTTAAAAAGGTTCAGAGATGGCTACAAACAAACTATGCCTTTACATGTAAGTAATACATTACAATTAATATTTTACATGTGAAATATAAACAGGTAAATATACTAACTTTCCAGGCTTATCTATAAGTCCGCCTTCTGGAGATTGACAGCAAACTATTATGTACTCTTGTAAGGCACCTTGATTGAATAAAACTGTTTCTATTAATTCTTTGTTATCTGAAAATAGAGAAAACAATTGTAGTTAAGATTAAATGATAAATTAATACAATGCTTGCCAAACTAAAACAATTATAACCTTTAGCTAGAATAGCACTAATGATTGGGAATATTCCTCCCTGCCAAAATGAATAACAGCCATCAACTAATTTATTGGTTCTGCCTTGAAAACCACCTTCTAGTCTCATCTGACGATTAACACTCCATCTTAACAGAGCATCTATATCACAGAGTTTTGTTCTGTCTAGCAAAGCTAGACATGCTAGACCACAAAAGGCATATCCACCATGAGCTTCCATTCCTGGACAGCCAGCAAAGCCACCCTCATATGTCTGACAACTAACAACCCATTCAGCAGTTTTGTCAAATAGGGCTTCTGTGTATATGTTTGTAATTTTGGCAACACTTGCTGCACAATAAGCACCTCTTATATCTTGTTCACCACCATTATGAAGAGCAAATGAACCATCAACATCCCGAAGTGTCCATAAAAATTTTTGCAAAGTGCTTCTATCTATTGAATCATATGCCTCATCAGTTCCTATAATGCTTAAAGCATTAACAGCTGCATATGTTGTACCAAGGTGTGAATGCTGCATAGGACCACCTCCATAACCACCATCTTTGTGCTGACATTGTTTAAGGAAGTTAACAACTTTTGACAATGTTTCCGCATCTGGTAATTTTTTTAACAACCATAGTGAGTGTAGTATCCAATATATAAGCCATGGCCTGCTTGCATCTAAACATGAGTAGTTGCCTGGTAAATGCATAAGCCAATCCTTCAAAACATTACAATGAGCTTTTCTAATTAATTTTGGTAAACTAGGGTCAATTGCTGCCTTATGTTCAAAACGTCTGTATATGTTGCAAACAATAGCTTCAACATCAATCTAAAACCATACAATATAAATATTTATTAATAAATGAAAACGCGCAGTATAAGTATCCCAGAAGTTAATGTAGTATAAAGTCTTACTTGCTCTAATGATGTATTCGAAGCGAAACCTTCATCATTATAACTTTCGCTTGCAATGTCTCGAAATAACCTTAGAACACTGGTCATTTTAAATTAAATCTGAGAAATACTTTTCAACAGTAATACCTTTCCGATTTACCGATTATTATACTACATACGTCCCTCAGCCCTGGTATTATTTGTTACACAAATACATTGAACTTGAAATTCCAGAGACTAAAATAAATATTAATATAGATTTGAATCATAGCCTCGGTCCCCATACAACCCTCGCGGGCCTCGACATTTGTCACTCTTGACTCCACAGTCCACTGTCACATTAGGGATGTGAAAAAATAATCGATTATTAAAAAAATCGATTTCAATAGATTTTTTTAAAAAGCAAAAATCGATTATTGTTCGCGATTTTTGTATTTAAAATAATTCATTATTTTTATAATTGAAAATCAATCATAGTCGATTTTTATTTTTTAATCTGCCACATCTGGACATTGTCTGATTCTTTAAAAGCTCAAACTATTAGGGATATTCGTTATGCATCGATGTTTACTATGCGAGACATCGAATAGATCCAATGCTTTGGTGAGGTATTGAATTTTGGGATGTGAAAAAATAATCGATTATGGAAATAATGGATCAAAATCGATTTTTGTTCGCGATTTTAATATTATAAATAATCGATTCTTTTTATAATTGAAAATCAATCATAGTCGATTTTTCATCTGCCACCCCGGACCCCGAACTATTAGGGATATTCGATATACATCGATATTTACAATGCGATACGTTGAATAGATCCGATGCTTTGAAGATGTATTAATATACTCGATGCATTGATGTTTTTTTATAAAACATCGAAAGGATGATCAAACCTGTTAATTTTATAAAAAACTCAAGTTTGATTTAAACACTATAATTTAAAAGTAAAATATATTTATTCAGCAGCACAAGGTTACATACAATAAAAAGACAACAAAAATACTGTTATGTGCTACTAAAAAGGCATAAACTCATCTATCAAATTTCACAAAAATCTTAAGACGAGATAAGGTTAATTTCGATTTTGAATAATCTAAAACTTTAATTTGTGTTTATAATTTCTATTGTCTATTTTCAATGAAGAAAACCATGATAAATGAAATATGTAACGTGTTTATTTTGAATGAATTCAAAAAAACAAGGAAAAATTCTTAAAAAATAAGTGATTTTTTATGCAGAATGTCACATCCCTATGTCACAATCCACAGACTCACAGATTTAAAAAACTACCAATTTATAGGTGTAGAGTATGTAATAACTTAGTTTTAATAGTGAGTAAATGGTTACCTGTGGTTCTTGTATAGTATATAAAATATACAAATAAAAACACGAATATTGTGTCATTCATAATTCATCTTCTTAATCTGTCATTGACCGACATGTGATTTAAATTTTAAAGTAGTAATATAAAAATAATCTGTTTTCTCCTATATAAATCTTAATCATTTATTAATAATTTAAATGCAACTGTTATAGCTTACTTAACATAACTTGATAATTCATTAAGTGAATATAAACTTTATGATTTTGAGTGAAATAATGTTGACTTAAGAGTGTAAATTGTGAACTTGTGAAGACCGCTAAGAGTTGACTTTTATATTTTTTTTAATTTAGTAAAAAGGAAACATCCTCTTACCAGTAAGGCTCGAGGTTCTCTAAAAATTATATATTCGATAAATTTTATAATTTCACATTTCTTATATTGATGTAATATGGGTAACCACAAAAAGTTTGTGAGTAAAAAACGAAAGGGCAACTTTAAATTTGAGTCGAAGCGAAAAAGGAAAGATAAGAAAGATGATGAAGTAATAAATAAAAAAGCAAAATTTAATAGATATAAAGATAAGCAAAAAGTTGAAGAAATTTTGGCAAAAAAGAAGCAAATGGAGGATAGGTTTAAACAACAGGACAAGACATTTTCAGAGAGTGAACCTGAAGACGATACTTATACACAGTTAGTATCTTCCTTTAAAAATAATAATGTAAATAAGCTTATAGAAAGTGAAGAAGAATCTATGAGTGAAGGTGACTTGGATGTGGTTGTTAATGTTAAAAAGTCCCCTATTCATGATCCATCAAATGATAGTGCTCTGTATAGTGAAAGTGAAGAAAATAATGAAATCAGCGATCATGAACTGGTAAATGACCTATCATTTTTAGTTTAATATTTTAGTTAAATAGTATTACTTTGAGCTCAAGTATTTGTGATACAGACTGTTAAATAAAAAAAAACAAGTTCTATTGAGAGTTCCATTTCATCAACTTCTGACTTGCACTTCTCACTGATCACAATTTGATTATATTGTTAAGTTATTAATATTAATAAATAAATACTTAGTATTTAACACTTATATTTTATCTATTCTGTGGTGTTTCCTTTTTAGGAAAATGAAGATAATGCGTTGGAAAAAGATAGGGATGCCTCAAATGATCCTTTTACAAAACATCTACAATATGAATTATCAGATGAATTATTAGTATCTATGTCTAACTCCCAACCATTTGAAAAAAAAATTACCAAAGAGTGGCCCTCACTTGGCCATCTGCACATAAGTATACCGCAGCCCATGGAAAGTGTATCAAAAATATCAAAGCCGAAGATATCTATACTTGAAGAAAAAACATATGCAAGTGTGGGTTCTGTACCACATTCGTTTAAAAAGGTTGATTTTAATGAATTATATATTAAATCACAAATTAAAGATAATATAGTATCATCAAATAAAAATAACCTCATTAAGAGAGATTTAGAATTGTCAGAAGTTTTTACTCCACTGCAGAAAGAATTATTTTCTATTATGAATCATTATCAAGATTTATATTATTCGGACAGAACATTTACAAATGGTGATGAGATTAGGTACACTTATTGTCTTCATGTAGCCAATCACATGTTAAAGACAAGGACTAAAATCTTACATCATAATGCAAAGTTAGCAAAAAAGACTGATATACCAGATGAATACAGGGATCAAGGTTTAGTCCGGCCAAAGGTAATCCTGTTATATATATAAAATAAAATTTATAATTGTAGAATAGTAAACAGAAGTTTTATTTTTCTTTTTTTATGATATTCTTAGGTGATAATTTTGGTGCCATTTAAAGATGCAGCTTACAGAGTGGTAAAGACGTTAATTGACATAGTTGTTCCAAAAGAAGCAGGGCAAGTTGTAAATAAAAACCGATTTGAGGATGACTTTACTGGTGGAGAACTTTTGATGCCTACCAAAAATCCAAAGCCTGAGGATTATGAACTCTTATTTAGTGGCAACACTGATGATACATTTAGACTGGGCTTGACTCTTACTAAAAAAACTTTAAAAGTGAGTATTTACAGACATAAATAATTAACACTAATAATTAATCAAATATAACAGTACTATATATTGCATCATCAGCCTTTTAAGAATACTCCCCTGTCTGGAAAGACTTAGTCCTATTGATTCATAAATGCTTCGAATGCTGGCCACAAACAGTTGGCAAACAGCTAAGACTGATATGAAAAATCTTAGTTGTAATATCAAATAAGGATTTATAACAACGGTGGAATTTCATATTTGTCTTGATGTTGAATGTTAAAACTAAAAAAATAACTATTATTATAACTTTAACTATAATTTATATATATTATAACTTTTACTATAATTATTATAATAACTATAATTTTTTCAGCTTTATACAGATTTTTATGCGTCAGATATTTTAATAGCATCTCCGCTAGGTCTGCGCATGATTGTGGGTGCAGAAGGCGAAGAAGACAGAGACTATGACTTTTTAGCTTCCATTGAATTGTTAATACTCGACCAGGCTGATGTGTTCTTAATGCAGAATTGGGACCATCTACTCCATGTGTTAGACCATTTTCATCTTCAGCCAAAGAAGACTCACGGCACCGACTTCTCGAGAGTCCGATCCTGGGCTGTGAATGGCTGGTCCAAATATTATAGGTATCAAACAAGATATTTCAATTAAAGGGTTAAACCGGGAGATCTCAAGTTAATTTTAAAGACTCTTTAATATATGTTTCAGACAGACATTAGTCTTTTCATCAATTGCGATGCCAGAGATAAGGTCGATTGTAAACAAGAAATGTCAAAATTATCGTGGGAAAGTGATAATTAGCAATCAGCCAGAAATAGGCGCCATTCGACAGGTTTTAGTCCAAGTGCCACAGCTTTTTCACAGGTAATTATCTAATTTAAAAAAAACAAATATTTGATTTTCCTATCCATAGATGTGAGTTTTGTAAATTTTCCGTAATATTTTCCTATTTATATACTAGCTGTCGCGCGGTAGCCGGTATCTTAGTATACGCCAGATTACCTATGAATTAGGAAAGGGTCACTTTCCCTTATATCTGCGGATTGACTTCCGCCCCTAAGTGTTTTTATTCCTAATTAATTGCAATGATCCCTTTTAGGCTCAATGCTACCAGTCCCCTATCGGCCGTCGACGCGAGGTTCGAGTACTTTGTAAAAGAGATTTTGCCCAAACAAAGAGATCCGCTGATGAGTCACACCCTTATATACGTTCCGAGCTATTTTGATTTTGTGCGATTAAGGAATTATTTCAAGAAGGAAGATATTAGCTTTGTTCAAGTCTGCGAGTACACTAAGGTATTTGCCATTTTCTTTTAAATAGATTGCAATTTGATAAGAATGTCTACAGTTATATTTTATTGTTACAGGATGCAAAAATAGCAAGAGCTCGAGATATGTTCTTCCACGCAGAGGCTCATTTTCTTCTCTATTCGGAACGAGTACATTTCTTTAGACGACTTCGTATTAAGGGTATTAGGCATATAATATTCTATCAGCCGCCGACCTACCCTCACTTTTATTCCGAAATGTTGAATCTTATGCAGGTTTGTTCGTTTCATTTTAATTTTTAGACATTATTATTTGTAAAAATTCAAAGTGTTCAAGACCATTTTGGTTTAATAAGGGTCAGTCGACAATAAGCTTAACGCTTACGCGTAATTCAAAATTAATTATTGTATTGTATTAATTAAGGCGATTAAAACAATAAAAAAGGCATTTTAGTGACTTTCTGGTACTTAACCCCACATAATTGTGACTTTTAGGTTAAAAATGGTCACTAGATGGATGGTAACGTAAGGTTTTACTATTATTATTGGGTACGGCGCGGTACATGGGGCAGGGGGGTCAAAAATTGCGTCACGTGATAATTGAACGCTGGGAGCTTAGCCGAAAGCTTGTCTAATTAAATTAACGCTTACAGGAAAGCAATCAGAATAAATACGGCGGCAGTGAGTGTAATATGACATCGACCACAATGTACTGCCGATACGATGCCGCACGAGGGGCGGCGGTTTTAGGCGTCGACCGAATCACGCGCATGTTGAATGCTGACAAACCATTACATATGTATTTGACTGGTGATAAATAAACTATATTTGGAGACGATGGTTTTATTTGATCTTACCTTTTCTCGAGTAGTATCATCATTTCAGTTTTTTTCTAAAAACTTGATAAATTAAAAAGAGAGGCGGAGAGTTTATTGCCAGTTCTTCACTTCCGGTCTACGGCCTTGATTTGAGAACTGGCAGTAAATGTAAAATTAGCAGCATTTAATGTATATTTCTTTTTTTGACGTTCATAAGTGTACATTGTGTTGACTATATTATGATAAATGAATTTGATTTGACACTGAATTTAATCATATGCCAGACTCGAACAGACACTTTATCTTTACAAAAACAAGGAGAAATGAAATAATTATTTTGTAGTATACACACTTTATTATTCTAATTGACAAATGATAATTTTCATTACAATGCTTATGATCTAACATGGACTGGACATAGCACCTTTTTTATGAAAAATATCAATTGCCTGCGAAACATGGTGAATTATGATGTCGATCGTGGACGGATAGAGAAACATAATATATATATGCTTTAGGATAAATTATACATATTCAATTGCAATTAAATTATATCACTGGGCGCGTCATATTTGAAATTCATATTTAAAAAAAAACAGAAATAGGACTGATATTTATTTCAAGCGTTTTGCGTTCTATGGTAGGTATTATAAAGCAAACTTACGAAACAAAATAGGTACTAATGAGATTGTTTTCAGTTACGTAATTGTGTGTAGGCAGATGCAGTAAGATTATGATCGACAGACATACCAACAACAATATTTATTTAGTTTAACATGTCCGATTTTAATGTAATTTCATGATTCAATACTAATTTATTTCATAATCTTTACGTTTGTTAAAAATGTTGGTAATCCTAGGTAAAAATCCTTGTTTATAAGCTACCATCCGTTTGTTTTTATCTGTTCTTAGAATTTAGTAGAGTATATTTAAGTAAGGTTTAAAAAAATGTTTTGAGTCACATGAAAAGTTATAAGTTTGATTTATTATCCTATTTTAGATCGTTTTAGAACGCACTGAATTTAACGACCCAGAATCTAGATTAGAGAGGTCAAGTGAGAATATAATGTCAATGTTAAAATAACCTAATAACTATATGTACTTAATACTAATTTAACTTAGTAGGTACATTCGGTTTTTAAACAAACACAACGAAGAATACAATTATAAATCAGGCAGTAATGTGTATATACAATTTTTTTCTATTATACTTAATTAAACTTTCTATTCACTTTTACGAACAAAAGCTAAAAGTTTCTATGTATAATTCAATTTCACAAACATAAAGCAATACCGAACTTTATGGGGTTCCAAAAAAAATTAAAACTTTTTACATCTTGTGGATGCTAATTGATCTACCACCAGTTGTAAAATCACAAAGGGCTATTCTAAGAGTATTTCGAGAAAGCCTTAACAGTAAAATATAAACTCGTTGTTTTACTTATCTAGGCCTTGCTAACTGAATATCTGCAGGCGCAATATAATTACGTGCATCCTACATAATAACATTGGTCTCCGACTAGATACGTACATAGTTTAGTATATAGTAATAATTATTTATAGTCTGTACTGGATGCAACTTAACTCAACAACAGTCGAAAATATCTCGACTTCATTAGAGACCTGTGGGTCTTCATTTTGGCCAAGTTCAACGTCATGTAACGCTAGTAATATTCTGTAGGGCCTCCGTGTCGTATGTTGTTACATTTTCTTGCATTTCCATAGCTGTATTGTTGGTAAACCAATCCTCGTTTGATAACGATTCATTTGTATTGATAAAACTGGTGATGTTATCTATTATTGGTTGAGCGATAAACTCGTTCACTGAGGTATTGCTTCGTCCTGAAAGAGAAATCTTTAGGTTAATAATAAAATAATAATAGTAAAAGTTTTACTATACTATTAGGTACCAGACATAAGAAGTCCAAGCACCTGTTTTGTAAGGTACTTTCTCTGTAAGAAGTCTTTATATTGAACATTTATGGGTCTTTAAAAAAATGTTTTTTTTTCGAGAATTGTAAGACAAAACAAAGAACGGGACACCCTAAACCGAATGAATAAGGTATAAAAGCAAACATTTATATACTCAGAAATATACTTATATTAGAAAATCTTATTTCAAACAAAAAACTCAATAAAATGAACCGTCAAAGAGTCCGACATTTATTTATGTTGCTGTTAGTTCGGAAAATACGAGGTCTTGTAAATATTTAGAAAAGCCGAATTCGCGCTGGCTCTTTAGCAAACACTGATTTATGAGAGAAAAAATAAACTTACAGAAACGTTCGTAGTAGGTACATTAATGTCTCAAGCATCTTCAGTACTTTAATATAATGCATTTTATACACAATAAAATGCATTATAAACTTGACTCGTCTGCAAAATTATTGTGTCTGTATTGCTTAGTACCAACTTTAGTCATGGAAAAACATAGCCAAAGGTAATTTTTATAAATGATATAGTCATGTACCTACTCGCTTCCCGTTTTAATTTATTAACCGATGCTATATGTAGAACATCGCTATTCTGAGTAATTCGTTAGTGATTTATATGCTATAAACATGATCAGTGAATGGCTGGCTATCGGTTATTGCAACTGCCGTTAGCTATATTTAGAATTATTACGGATCTGAATCCCATACATACCTACTTGAAGTGCTCAAATGAAATTCCGCTAAAATAATATCTTCGTGCAACACGCGCAAGTTAATAAACCGCATTCAGTTTATTTTTCGTCTACGTAAGTTTTCCCTCCAAAGTAAATGTTAATAAAATATCTAAGTAACGTATTCTACTTAAATCGTAACTAAAAGATTAAAACTTAACGCCAGGCCATCTTAACGGTAGGCCATCTAAGTTTAAAAACAATAATATACTGTAGTATGTTACGAAAAAAAATATCCTTAATAAAAGGTAAGGTCAAAGGTTCAACTTAAGTTGCGTTTCTTACGGATTTTGTCAGTCAACTATTACTAATATTTTTTTATTTTTTTTAGTGGGGTCGAGGTAACCACATAGGGTTATACTGCACAACTCTGTAAAGTGGAACACCATACACTAATAACGTCTCACCCTTTTTTGACCAGCTGAGTGAACTGGCTTCCTTCGCAGCAGCTGACCCCGTTTTCTATTACTTAGTATTTAATTAATTTATAAAAAAAACTATTAGTAATATTACTAATAGTTTTTTTTTTATTCCTGAAATATTAGGTATATTGAATAGCTCAAATATAAACGTTTACAAACTGGCTTAAACTGAGATTATTTAAAAGTAATTCCAAATTAAAAGTTATCAAGTTCTATCAATAGAGTTTGTAATTGCTGTGTTTATTCCGCCTTTGATAACAACATCTTTAATTTGGCATTCGGTAAAATATGCATTATCCGTTTTCGATACAATTGATATTATGTTATTTCTGAAACTTTGATATTTTTTATTGACATTTTAATACTTCACACAAGTATACAGTATTTACAATTTTCTTAACCTACATAGTAATAATAAAAAGAAAATTTAAACAAATTTAAAAAGTTTGGTCCCTGTGGCAGTTTGGTACCTTTAACGCTGGCAGCATTTCCTCAACGAATATGTATTGAAAAGCAGCAACACATATTCGAGCGAGAAAAGCACCAGCTCTTGGTTCACCTGTACTGTCTACCAGGCGCCAACATCAATCATTAATTAACACCTGTGCACTTGAACCCCACGGCCCAAGAGTCTCTTAAACCCTAAAGGAAACAAAATCGAATTTGAAGGAAAGACTTCAATATTTAAGCCGTTTATTATGAGAGGTGAGACGGGGCTAAAATATATGTAAACTTTTAATAAAAGTTTTGTTAATACTAGAGATCAAGCTGAGTAGCACTATGAAATTAATCCCATCCTAACTGGATGATATTACACGAATAATGTAATATTAACTGTATTTTATCGAGACTGAATAACGAAACTACGGCAACTAAAAGTAAACTTTTATATAACAAATGCACCTGAAAGGATGTGGAACAATGAAAGCTTCAGTTCGTATAAATAAAATGCCATAAATTTAGTGTACACAATTTAAATTTAGCCGTAATGAATCATCTCGTTACTCGTTAGTCTTTAGTCAACTGTTTCTCTTTTAAAATGTTTGAGTTGCGCAACAAGCATGACCTTATTTAATTTCTTACTAGCAAATTTACTACTTCAGTGACGTTCACTATTATGAATTGTTAGAAAATATACATTGAGCTTTTTTATCTTCGAGAAGCTTTAACGTGAAGCTGTTATACTTAATAGCCGATCGTGTCGTAAATTTTACATCGCCTTCATAGAAACTTCAAATATTTAATTTATGTCATAAAATAATAATGGACTGCGTAACGAGCGGATTAAGATTTTTAAGGCGCCATCCTACTTGGACGATACTTATTTAGTTAACGTAGTAACGACTATTGATACTTATAGACTCTTTTCTTGAAGGACCCTAAGTTGGTTAGGAAATACTTCAGTGAGCAGCTGGTTCCACTAATCATTAAAAAAACTATAAGGTTGCAAATTTGGGGGGGTTATCTTATCACATAGGTATACCAAGCTACAATAAAGTCGGAATCTAAATCGAAAAATAAAAAAAATCGGTTTTCATCAATTTCAATGACTTGACTTGTATACGTGAAAGCTCCTGCGTTAGAATTACTTAGTAAGTATACCGATTCCTTACTACAATTCAGACATTATAAATAAACATTAAAACTAATCAACATATTTTCTACCAAAAAGCTTCTACTTTGTACAGGCCTAAGAAGCACACGTTCTTTGTGATAAGAGTGCGCATTTATAGTGCAAAGGTTGAGACAATGATGAAGAGGTAGATGAAGAGAATCGGAAAGAAGAAAATTTCATTCCTTGTTATTTGGGATCAAGAAGTAGGTACATGTCTTCTCTGTAGTAAAGTAATTAAGTTCCTATTATAGCACCAGAATTGTGGTTCATGGATAGAGTAGACATAAAGCGTGTTGTGGGTGTGACCTACCAGTGTGGGTCATAAAGCATGTGGGCAAAGGTGTAGTGCTGGGTGGCTGCGTTACAGTGTTTAACACCTTGCGCTGCGCGTAGTGCGCGTCCTTGGGCTCCCAGAAGAACACGTAGTAGAGGGAGAGCATGATGGCGGCCAGAGACACGCAGAATACGTATATGATGACGGTGAGCACGCGAACGCTCTTCTTGTCGCGTTTCCGCTCGTACAGCGCTTCCAGCACCACCTCGTGAGCCGAGGCGGCCCCGGCACCGAGCCGCACAGACCCGCCGCACGATCGCACGCTGCCCGACAAGTACGACCTGCCCGACATCGCCCCGGAATGCACTCGCGTCCTCACGGAAGCCGCTAACTAGGCCACACTTATCGATATGCCAATGCCCCACTTCGGCCGATGCGCCTCGACCTGCCGCCGGGTCACGCGGCCCGTGTCTGAATCTTGACACCTTCTGATGCCGACTGTTGTTCCATTATTGTGCCGCCCGCTTCAGTATTCATTTGTTTATCCTTTAATTTCACGCTCACGTTAGTATGAGATCTATTCCAGTTACTGACGTAGACCCGATCGCGTTACGTTTGTCATGAACCCCTCGTTCGCGAAACTATATTGTTTTTACAGATTACTTTTATGTTTATGTAAGATTACGAATCTAAAGATAATTGAGCATATATCTTATCGTTTACACTTTGAAGCGAGAAAGCGCGAGTGAGCGGCGACGGGCTGCCGGACGCCGGACGTTGCGTTGAAGCGTGTAACAATTTGCAAACAATGTTAATTTGGCAGAGGTCAACACGTTATTAGTGCAAAGTGTTGTCACAGCGGGTGACAGCTGCGTGACGTGTGACACTGCGTAGACGGGTGGCCGCGGTTGGGCGGAAGGCAATGGGCGGGCGGCGCGCGCCTCCACCAAACATCACTTGATCAATAATTCGCTAACAAAATTCGCAATTTACGTATTATGTAAGTAGACACTTATTGGAAAGCAAATAGTTGTAATCGACGTATATAATACACTCGTTTTTCAATTATTTAGCTTGCTTATAATTTGTTTCAATAATCCGTTAATTTATTTTTGTAATACTGTAATTACTCTGAAGTAGGAAGATATAACAGGAATTAGTTAGAATACATTATTCATTTACTTAATAGACTGAAATCTTAATTTTGGTGTTAATATTATATATTTGCAGTACTCTCGGACTGTTTGGTTTTATTATCATCTGACTATGATTTTAGTAACGTAGAAATATCTAAGTCAGGGATTTTGCGTTTAATTATTTTCAATTTTTATTCATAACCGCCGCACCAGACGGACTATATCAGATATACAAGACACAAGAATTAACTGTCACGGTGTGTGTGTAATCTTGCTAATAGTGATCATGGTATAGGCACTAGTAGTTTCACACACACGTAGTTTCGCTATATATTTAGTTCGTATATACACAATAAAGCTTTGTCGGATTTAATATTTACATTAGCGTCATAATAATTATTAAGTATAGTTCTTAGCTTTCCTTTCCGTGCTTACCCCCATTAAAATGTTTTAAGTTAAGATTTAAATTTCAATCAAAACAAGACAGTATTATTTTGCAATATTTATTTTAGCTCTATGTTAAGTTTTATAGTAAGTATTACATTTTAATGTTGATTAGAAATACTCCTAAATCCCTTTTTAAATTAAAGTGCTAAACAAACAATTAATTGCAAAGTGGTTAATTGATGTTTAGTTCGACACAATTGGGTTAGGCGGTATCAATTGGATTACAGGAAACCCTTCGAGGTAAACCTTCGTACTCACGACACACCGCAACATCGGATATTACCGAATTACTCAGTTTACTACATCAACTTTCCCACAGATTTACTTGTCTAAAAATAGCTACAATAGGAGATCGCATGGCAACACCTGCATTGAATGCATTGAAACCCTAAATAAGATAATCTGACTTAAGTGGTCGTACACAGGCAAACCTCTGGATTAAAGATTCAACTGCCTAATATATGTTGAATATCCTCTCCAGCTGCGCGCCTGTCTTGTACAATATTTACCACGAGCTATCTAGGTATAGTTAACAACTATATGTTTATAGCACCTGTATTTTAATTAAAAAATATTAAAAATCTCTCTCCATAGAAGCTAATCATTTAAAAAAATCAAACACCACTACACGCAATACTCGTCGAGCGAGTTTGCTTATCTTGCCGAAGCCGTGTAAAATTATTTGAAGAAGTCTATTAGGTACGAGGGTGTGCTATTATTCGTAATATTAGCGCGTTTAACCAATTCAAAAGGGCATTAAAGATACATATCAGACTAATTGGGACGGCTGATGGCGACGTGTATCTCGTTCGTATATTAAGTTTCTCATGTAAATAAAATATATTTTTTTTGTATTGAGAAATAAAGTTCTTTGAACATTATAGTTCATTTGCGAATAGGTATGAATTCTTTCCTCTCCCTATAACATGCCCATGCTGGCCATTTGTCGTACTCGTGAACGGTGCTATATGTGGTCACTGCTTGCTCTACTGTGTGTTTAAAAATTAATCTCACTATAATGTTAGTGCGTGCTGCCATTTCGCTATGCCTACTTCTGATAGAATCTAAACGTTTGTCTATTGTTTTTATAATTTATTCCACGACATGTGGAGCAAAGAGTAAAGATAGCATCTCCTCACAAGCATCTTACGAATCAGCTCTTTCAAAAATGCCTAGATAATTTAAATTTTACAGCGATTTTTGGCTTATAGTTAATAAACGTTAAACGTTAAGTTATGACGACTCATTGGTCTAGTGGTTAGTACCCCTGACTGCGAATCCATGGGTCCCGGGTTCGATCCCCGGCTGAGACGAACATCGATGTGATGAGCATTTGGTATTGTTTAGTAGGTCTTGGGTGTTTAAATATGTATTTATATGTCTATCTATCTATAATATGTATGTATATCCGTTGCCTAGTACCCATAACACAAGCTTCACCAGCTTAGCATGGGACTAGGTCAATTGGTGTGAATTGTCTTTAAAAAAAAACGTAGCAACAGATATGCAATTTTATTAATTTACTATGAAAACATGCGAAATATGTTTATTTATATATCTTATATATAAAATTCTCGTGTCACAATTTTAGTTACCATACTCCTCCAAAACGGCTCGACCGATTTTTATCAAATTGTATATGCATATTCAGTAGGTCTGAGAATAGCCTACTATCTATTTTTCATACCCCTAAGTGTTAAGGGTTGTCCACCCCTAACATTTTATTTTTATTTTTTGGACGAAATTTTAATTTTTAGTATTTTTATAATGTGCCATAAACTTTCACCCCTCTACGATTAACCCCTATTTTTAATGATGGTAGATAGTTATTTTTACTGAAGTAAAAAAAAAATGTTTCCTAGAAATAATATAATATATATATATATATATATATATATATATTGGGGTCTTTATTTTTAGGATCTTGGTTGTAATGATTGTCTTGTTTTTTATCGTTTACTTCATTATAGTCTCCAATTTCTATATCGTCCATGTTCTTATTGACTGTAGTTTCTGGTGTTTCGATAGATATTTTGGGGTTTGTAAGTAAGATGTTAGATTGGTCGCTTTCTATTGCCGAATTTTTTTGAAGATGGCGTCTCTTCCTCAAAGTTTTTAGTTTCTTGGTATGATTGAGACCTAATGTTTCTATTATGTTACTCTTCTTCTCCATTAATGTATTTTCATATTCTAAGAGTTGAGATCCTACAAAGCTTTTTGGAGTACCTGCATAGGCAATCTATAATTTTGTGCATGAACTGATATATTATGCCCTAGAAATCCTGCCAATTGCTCAGTATAATGATCATTTTGTTTAGAATGAATTTGGGACATTGTAGCAATATGATGTCTCATTCGGTTGATGTAATATTGGGGGTTTCAAATTAACTGTTTTTTTATCATATCTAAACACTTACCGCCCTCAAAAGGTTCTTGTGTACAGGTCTTGGAAATAAATATTGGTTGAGCTTGGATTTTAAATCTTAGAAGCTATTTTTAAATCTATGTTTTCTCCATTATTTTTGTTAGTTTAGTTAGTTGACCACGTTGTCATAAAGCCAACATTTCTTTTATGGCACTTACAAATGTTTCATTGTTTTCAGGATCAAGGTAGTGAGATCAAAGTTGTGTCTTTTTTCGAATAAAATTAAAAGAGTAGCTAAATCTCTCATTTTGGAGAAAATCGCTTTACGACTTGTCGTTCTTTTTCTTCTTCAAGAAACGAGCACCGTAGTATGATAATGGATCATTAACTACTAATGAAATTTCATAGAACAAATGCGACAGTATTTTTCTTTTAGCTCAATCGAAGCGTTCGCCTAAAGAGAGTGTGATTAAGCAATGCTTTTCTTTTAAGTGACGGAAGAACAGTTCAGAAGCTTTACAATTTCTTAAATGTCTGAAAAATGAAGATCTTTTAAATGTACCCAAGCATGTTTTAAAGTAGGTAAGTTGACGGACTAGAGTGGTTTGATGGTAATAAGGTTAAATGAGGTCCGATAAAGATAGAATTGTGTAAAAAAATTCCCTTGTTTCTCAATTTATTGTAATTTGTATTTAGCTTTTGTATTTTAGGGTCTGTATCATAATAGCTTTATATGAAGAACTTCGATTTCATCTGGTGGTTACGTAAAAGATGTCTAGAATAATTAGTATAGTTACAATTGCTGAAGTAGAAACATGCATTTCTTGGTAAGTTACGTTTTCTGCCGTATTAAAGTTTTCAACTTTACCTCCTCCAAAACCCGGAATTCCTTTATGAGTACACTTACGCCCTCATAGTGATAAGTGGATCCATATGATTGGGTTTCTTGTAACTGTTTACTTTTCTATTGCAATTTTTTTCAACTGAAGATGGGTGTCATTATATCATGTTAAAAGACTAAAAGGTAAGGTCAAAAGTGGATAAGTAGTAGTAAGATTTCGCATATAAAAGGAGAATGACTGTGGTAAATATTTGGAGTTAGGATTACAAAAACATTATTTTAATGTATTTTTGAGGAAGAGTTGAAAGGAGAGAATCCCAAACAAGCCTCCATTAATTGATAAAGTATATAGTAATTTGTAAAACCAATATAATAAAAGGTGGAAAATTTTTTTAATATCTTACTAGATCAACATTTAAAAAGGAATATATATATATATATATATATATATATATATATATATATATACTAGTTCCTATGTACCCCTGTCAAGGGAAATTTAGTTTACTTAAATGATTCTCTGTTAGGTTTTTGTGGATTACCTGTATGATTTGACCTTAAAGCAATGGTCATGTCGAGAATAACTAATCTACTACAAGTCTTGGTTCAGCACGCGTTTTCCACATTTACTAAAAACATTTGCAGAAAAGAATTTCCATTCAACGAATGACGACATTCTTCTTTAGATAACTGCCTTATCAAAATTAAATCTTTAACAAAAGCGCTTTTTAAAGGCAGAATAAATATGCGTACTTTAGGTGAATTTACTGTTGTATAAATATAAGTTTTTTAGCATCAAAACTTACCCGTGAAATTGAACGTTGGGCGAAAATCCAAATCATAAGCCCGTCTCGCGCTGATCTGGCCCTGCGCCTCGATCAGCTCGGGTGACTTCCACACGCATATATAATACACGGAGAGCAGAATCGCAGCGAAGGAAACGGAGAACAGATAAGCAAATACGGTGAGAACCCGGACCACAGTACTTGCACTTTTCTCCCGATAGTCTTTTCCCGGAGCCGCGCCGCTGACTCCGGCGAGACCACCCACGACATGCTCCTCGACGACTCCGTCTACTCCGTTCTGTCGGTTTGACATGTCGCTACCTATTCATTTCCACTTTGGCACTCTTAAAGTTACGCGCGACATCCCCATTATATAGATACAAAATACATCAGGTGGCGGCGTGTGGTGATACGCGGATGAGCAGAGCGAGTGCGGCGGCCGAGTGACCACGTAACATTCAATGCGCGGTGCTCCCGATCTAAACCGATTAACTATACTCCACACGCGTCATGGTTACAACGATATATTCTTAATTTTATATGTTTGGAACACCTAAAGACGCCGGCCGTCATTTGCATTTCATTCATATCGCGGAAATATCGAAATAGAATGTAGTTAAAAGTAATAATTTTTTTATTATTTTGTCTGTTTATGTTAACAACTTTCTTACATTTACTTAAATAATTTTTACATTCCTCTTTTTGCATTAATAATGTTCTAAGGAATAAAATGAGTTAAAGAGCAGGCATGTGATCTCGATCTGGTTACCTTAGATATAATTTTTTTTACCTAAATCGTAGGACGGACCTATTGTTTTTCTACCTAGTAATTTTTGTGTAAGATTATTCTTGACACGTTATTTGATCCAATTGTATCCAAGTATAAGGTGTCGTCCGCGTCACAATATTATTAGACTTAAATTGTATTACCGATATAAGGTGTTTATCTTCAAGACTGCAGAAATCCTTCAAACTAGAATCCATTTCATAATAACAGAATAAGTTATATAAGTAAACAAATGCGCCGTCCACAATGCCGGGAAGATAAATCTTCTGATATAAAGAATGAATTTTATAATTTATGGGAAAAATTATACACTAAATGCGTACGTAAGAGACGAAACATAAAAACGATTAAACCCACAAATTGTTCTTAACATGTTTACATTTTTATTTAATAGGAGCTTAATGAAACCGCAAAAAACGAAGCAATTGTGCTTCAACGTGAAATGCCAATTTATCGGCTAAAATTAACTAAACGGAAGTCTGATACGATGAAAGTTTTTATTTTAAATCGATATGTATTTGAACACTGACCTAATTATTTTCTGCCGGATTTAATTTATCACGATTAATTTGTCAATCGCGCGTATCGTGAATTAAGCACACTAAACCGATTAGAGGTCCAAATGGCTTTTAAGACAATGCTCGCTCAGACAGAGATCGTAATGTTTAAAGAGAAACAACTATAATAATTGATCGGGTCTATAAATCCTATCACAATTACGATAGTATAATAACGTAATAGATTCCACGAAAGCAATTAATTGCGATATTACTGTTGATTAAATGTTTTCCAAATTCAATATGCAAATCAAATGAGCATTGGGAGTTGGGACGTAGGTCATCCATTATAGATAATTGGATCGCATTATCGGAATTGAAATACAAGTAGGAGGTACTGCCATGTTTATATTGTATGGTAATCAATCATGAAACCGGATAGTATGTGTACGCCAATAAGTGGATTTAAAATGGAAATATCTACATGATAGGTAATAAATCCGTTTAGTATGATTTTTATAAATTCAGTGCTTTCAAAATTGTTCTTGACACTAAACTTTTTGTGCTTCTTCTTATATTCTTATCTTCTTTCAAAGGCTGGCGATCATCACGACTAGTTTAATTTGGCTGCCGCGCTTCTGAACAATGGCTTTGTAATTGCGAGACGTTAGTGTACTTGGCTCATATAAAACTGTCAGGCGCTTTCTCCTTATATATTAAGAAAAAAGGTTTTGGAACAATAATTTCCGATATTGTAAATGTTTGTTATTTTAAACCTAAGCTTCAGAGTGGAGACTTATTGTAAAGTATGACTCCCTTATTTATATATCCTATAACCACTTACGCAGTCTCGACTGTGAATCTAACCCTAACTCTTTCTAAATCTTAACTCCAGTAAGTACAACATTTAATAGTTTATTTTTTTATGTGCCTTCGATTTAAATAAACTCTTTTGCGAAAAACGGGTCCCCGTTCTTCAGTTATTCCATTATTATAGACGACAATGCTCGCTCGAACCGTTCTGGCGACGTGGAAGCGTACAACCAAGAAGTTGGGATCCGTAAGATTAGTGCTACCTGCTCCACAAAAAACGTCAGGAAGCTAAAAAGAGTCATGGCAAAAGAGTGGAAACGTATTCCTCAACATGTTATTAAAAACATAATGAAAAGCATGCCCAGAACTCCCAGAAGGATTCAAGCTGTGATTTTGGCAAGAACAGGTCGTACTCAATATTTTTTACGATTTGTAACTTTATTTAATTAAAAAAATATTCTTGTCTTTATTGTCGACCACATCGGTTTTAAAGAATTTATCAAAAATTAATTACAAAATGGGCAGAATTCACTTCATTTACACACACATTCACGCGTATTCATTTACACGATTAAAAGTAGAGACTACGTCAGACAATTAAATTTCGTTTAATTAACTGAAATTGGCAAATTGTATTTTTGCTGTTAAGTATAAAACGGTCGAAATGTTCTAATGGCGATAAATTATTATAATGTGAAAAACGTTTATCAATAACTCATAGACATTTGAATACCGCCAACTGGTTTCCGGGCATAGATATTGATGATGGGAGTAAATAGATAAATTACAATATCTGAAATCGCTTAAAGATAGATTTTTTTATAGACCAGGGCGCAAGCGGGCAGAAGGCTCCATGATGTTAAGTAAAACTACTGTGTATGAAAACTCTTAATGTCAGAGGGCTCGCAGGGCCTTGTAAGAATTGGTACGCTCTTTCCTTGAAGAACTGGAAGAGGGTAGCTGGTTCCTCATAGTGGTGGTGCGCCTGAAATAACGGTCAGTCGCGGAACTACGAAAGTCTAGGAACACTCTCCAGTTAAATGCGGTAGAAGATGCAGAGCGATAGCAAATTAAATGCCCCCGCTTTTGCCTCCTTAAATATGGTTAAGTGGAAGGGACTTTTACAGGAGAGTTCCCATCCAGAGATGAGAACAGTGCTATATGTGGATAAATTTGCGCTTTATACACAGCAAGCGATGGCAGGAGGAAGTACCGTCGCCTTGCTGAGCACACCAACTATCTTGGAGGCTAATTTAGCCTTTCCTCCAAACGACGGGAAAGGAACGTCGATATTCAACGCCCAGACTCAACGGTTTAATAGAGTACTCCAAATCTGGCATAAATATCTTCGAAAGAGGCGACATAGTGTGTTAGCGGTTAAAACTATTTCTTGGGGTAAATTGGACTAGATTTAAGTCGACATTTACCTGTTTATACCAGGCAACCCGATAGTTGTGACCGGAAAAGAATGGGCAGCATAAAGTTTGCATATTCTATGGGCTTCATACTTTCGATTGGTATAGAATTTATCTAATAATCATACCGGTGAAATGTTAAAAAAAATATTTTTTTTTAATTATTAATTAAACATACTCTGGACTGAAATTTGCTAGACAACCCATATGGATTATATTTATTGACATATAAAATTTAATTTAAATATGTTTCATTAAATAAGCATCTCGGTGAAGGTCGTTGTATAGCGGGATCTTAGGGTGAGATCTATAGTGCGCACTTGGACTTTGCTCAGACTTACCTTACGAAAAACTTTGCTTAGTGTACACTAAGGTTAAACTATGATTTCGTATTTATAGACATTTTAACGGTGAGATTAAGCTAAGCCCAAGCTAAGACAGAAAATGTTAAAAATACAAAAATGATGTTTCATTTCATGCAATACTTTGTTTATAATCCTTTAAAAAAAATTAACAATAACAAATATTTAAAAATCTAAAACGGTACACATATATCTTCAATTTATTGTTATTTATGTATTCATTTATTTTATTATTGCAATAACTAGAAATTACGAGTAACCTTTAGAAAATGTATTAATTATTTAAAGATGACAATAATTTTATTACGTAGAACGGATCGCAATGTTTTGGTTAGGTTATAGTTTGAATTTCGTTGTATATAATATGCCAATTGCAGGGTGAGGTGACATACAAAATCACACCAGTATTTTTAAGATTTTAAAAATGGGGTTTGAACAATTACATAAATAATATAAATAAACAACAATAAATACCATAATAATGTGTAATATTTTATTTCATGATTTCATAGGTATTTATCAAGATCATTTATAATTTTTGAATTCAAATTCTATTTTTCCCAAAGTTATGGAACTCCGATACAAAATGGAACACTTTCATTAAAAACCGACAAAAAATAAAAAGTCCAGTAAAAATATGATGGTAAAGCAAATTTTGGGCCATTATTTTTGTTAGGCTTATAGTCAAAGTTTTGGTAAGTGTGATGGGATTGAGATTAAGCTAAGAACACTAGGGAGAGATTCGTAGTTTGTTATAAATAGACTGTGTTAGCTCGATAGTTAAGTAGAGAAAGTTAAGTGGACTATAGATCTTAGACCATTGGCGGTACGGTCAAAGTTTGTAGCGCCACCGGATTGTTTTTGATATGTTAGAAGCCAATAAATAAGAAAATTAAAATAGATACAGTTTAATACATTTGATGACGATTTCTTTGTTGGGGTAATAATAAGCGATGAATGGTCTTTTTAACCTTTACAAATTTCAGCGTTCACGTTCCTGATTTAGGTCCATAGCTGTATATTATATGAGGAATTTAATCGCCTTTGTGTAAACGATTGTGCATCTGCAATCTATCAGTTGGCAGTCGTTAATCCTGTAGGTATATAATGTAGTTCGCGCTTTGTTACTAATTTCTGACTTATTTAAATGTACATTGGTGTTATTAATATATATACTATATAAATATATTAATATAGTCATAAATATATATAATTTATATCATACAATAATACTACGATAGTGCACATGTTTTAATTATATTATTATGAATCAAGGTAGGGATTTAGATCGCTTACTGAAAGCTGAAGTAGAAATCTACTTCTTACTATAAATGGTAATAACTTTGGTTGCCGTATACTGCCAATGAATCCGAGTTGCGCTTAGAAGCCTACCGCAGAAACACTCAGAAAATTACTACTGTTTAAGAATAGTCACACGA